CCCCCTGGCTTTGTGCTTTGCATGCTTTTTCGTTTGTTCTTGCATATGACATCGAGATTTGCACTTTCCGTTGTTGACCGCTGATCCCATACAAAAAATTTCTTTGGAAATAAATGTCGCCCTTTGTCGCACATCCAGTGGAAATGTAGTTGCACAAACTCAGATGACCCAGGATGACCCCGAGTCACAATGACACATGCTTTTCTTGATCATCCTCGCCCATGCTCATCAACAATATTCCCTTTTTGGTTCATAAAAAATGATCTGCAACCAATGGACGCCCCTCCGTGATCCTCCATCTCCCGCCTTCCTTCTCCCGCTTGCTTTTCTTTGCTTTCAGTCCCCCGGTGGCGGTCCTTCTCCCAATTTAGCCCATTCCATTTCCACTCTCATGGCATGTCTATGCTAGATATGTATCTGTATCTATCTGGGCATGCTGAGCATGATGACTTTCTAGCCACATGTCCACAATCAGTCATCCTCTTTCTCCCGCTGCCGCTCCATTTATTTCCACGCTTTCGTTCAAGTATTCGTCGCCACGGGGGGGAATCCTTTGTCCTTCTGTCGCTCCATCTCTGATCACTTTTTCCAGTCAAGATGTCAATCTATTTCCGAACATGCGGGTTCCGTTCCCTTAGTTCCAGCGATGCGGGTCCCGCCATATTCTCCTCCAAACTCAAAAGATTGCACTCAAATTGAATGACCGCTGCACTCTCTCTGCTTGTTGCGGGACCGGAAACTTTCGCCTTTTGCAAGTACAGGGACACCCAGGCCAGGGTACTGCTACACCTGTTTTACGAAAAGAAGAGGGAAAAGGTTCAACTTTACTTTGCTTTACTTTTACCCGCTCGTCCGGTTCTTGCTCCAAACTTTTGGTTTTCTGGTCTGGTAGGTAGTACGAACCCCACTTTTGCTGATCATTCTTGACGCTCTTGTTTCTTTTGGGAGACATTTGTATCAACGGCGGAGACATGTTCATATCGATGAAGGAGACACGACCGACATATATCTGGCATAATCTCAATATGGTTGGGGCGAGGGACGGATGGGCGAGGGATGGGCAAGGGAGGAGGGAGGGGTTTGAAGAGGGGCTGCGATTGAAAGAGATGGGCTTCTGCTATGCTATCAGGATGGTCGCAATGCCCTGGCGATACCCCATAATTCTATCTTAGTCCGGCGTGCTTGCATATCACTTTTCCTCCTTTCTTTTCTTGGCCTCTGCTTGCTTATCTTAATCAAAACTTGTCGTAAGCAGTGTCCCAGCGCCGTTCAGAGCGCCGTTGCAGCCATGCTCTCCCAAAGTCCCATTCAGAATTTCAAAAAACCCGGCTAACAAACACTTACAGTGATACGCTGTGAGCCCTTGTCACACCCTGTGTAAAACATGCGACGTCGTCCCCTTATCCTCTTCACAGCAACCGCCGCCCTCTCCTTCACCCTTCTCCTCCTCCTCACAGGAACCTGGCGTGACATCCACCACTACCTCGGATACGGCCTACGTCCCCTCTGGGGAACACCGCCCAAACCATTCACCCTGCTCCCTCACTACTATGCTCCAAACATCTCCTTTTCTGTTCTATGCCCGCTTCACAACTGGGGGAACCCTTTACCCGAAAAACGAAAAGTATTCGACGCAGTACCCCTCTCCATCGAAGTCGATCTTCTCGAACTCCGCATCCGTGAACTATGGGACGTCGTCGACGAATTCATCGTCGTTGAAAGCAACTCCACATTCACGGGGTTACCCAAACCCCAATCCTTTTCATGGACACGGTTTTCATTCGCGAAACCCAAACTCCATTACCGGTATTTCAATCTCCGTACCCTAAAACCCCACGAAAAAGCCTTCGACCTCGAATACGAAACCCGCGTCGTCCTCGATGACATCTTACGCGAACGCGGTGTCAAACACGGTGATGTCGTCATCATGGCCGATACAGACGAAATACCTTCTGCACATACCGTCCACCTCTACGCAACCTGCGAGGATCCTCCTAAAACTGTTCACCTCCAACTAAAAGAGTACCTCTACTCGTTCGAATTCCCCACCGGTTTCGGCAGTTGGCGCGCCTCCCTCAACATTTGGCAGTCCCCCAACAACCCCAACAACCCCCAAGGCGAAGACCGCAGGTTCGGCCGCGCCGGGGCCGCCCCGGGCCGCCGCCGGACGCCGCGTCAACGCCCTGCGTACCCCTCGTCGGCGACCACGCCCGCCGCGCGCAGGCCGCCGGAGCCGTCCCATTTTTCTTCGAGCCCACCGCCGCCGGGTGGGCCCGGATCACGGTCGAGTCGAGGACCAGCAATTCCAGGTCCTCGTCCTGCAACGCCTCCACGACCCGCGCCCTGACCCCCTTGGAGCATCAGCGGTCGAATCGCCGCCAGTCGCTGTTCCACCTGCCAAGCCGCTCGGGCAGGTTGCGCCACGGGGCCACGGTCCGGGCGATCCAAAAGCGCCACGTCGACGAACCGCCGGTTGTCCTCGGCGACCCCGCCGTGGCCCCCCGGCCCGCCCGGCTGCAGGTCCTTGATCCGGTCCCGATCGGCGTCGGAGATCGAATGACGGTGTCGCATGGCGGTTCCTCCCCGGCGGCG